CCTGCTGTGTTCGTCCAGCTCCACACCTTGTTATCTTAGACTCCAGCATCAGCAGTTCCTACTCTCTCTGAGTTAATTATTTACTTGTGTTGGGGATCTGACTTTGTCAGGGATTTTTCAGGAACTTCTAGTCCCATCTGGGGCCATTGGCGTTGTTTTTCATCTGGACCCTTGCAGGTTGCGTATTTTTATAATGACATCTGGATTTTCTGAGGATGAATCTGATACCTGCCCTCGACCCAGAAGTTTCCACATTTTCCAATAACTTGAGGCTTGTGGGCATCCTGCTGTGCCTCTGATGTGGTGCTTCCAACATATCTAAAAAGAAATTATGAAGAAACTGTCCCAAGCCTGGAAAGTTCATTAGGGTCATCCACAGAATGTGCCGTCTTCTGCTAACATTTGATCATGCAGTTTTTCTAGCATTTTATAACTTTAAACTGTTAATTATAACTACTGAACTGCATGTGCATTTCATGTATTTTTTACTGAGAAGTTTAAATTCTAAGCTTATAAAGGAGCAATAATGCGTATAAAACCTGGGGATTCACTTCATTTTCATCAGGCGTGAGTCTTGGGCTTGTGACAAAAGCCTTGACTTTGAATCAGAGATTGTGCTTTAGGTTCCACTTAAGAGACACATTTTCCTGGACTAACACCTTAAATTCAGTGCAGTTATGAGAGAATGCCACATTATTGGAGATGCTGTTTAACAAATGAAAAGCTAAACCAGTACTCCACGTGATCTTGCTGATGGACATTAAGGATCCCGTGGGACTATTGGAAAAGCAGCATGGGTACTATCCCCAATGACTCTGCCAATCATTATTCCCAAAGCAGAATTACTAAAAAATATCTCGTTGTTTAGACATTGCTGTATGCAAAATAGTGTTTCTTGCATCGCAAGGGAGTCCACAATTTAAAAGGACTTAAATGACTATAAAGCAATTGGGAGGAACACACCTGAGGTTGCATAATAAAAGATATGCAAATTATTGAAGCTCAGAGGAGTGAAGATCCCATGCATGTATCCAAGACCAAAAGACATGTTCCACATTCTCAGGAGCGGTCTAAGCTGCAGCAGGCTGCACATACTTGGAGGGGTACATCAGTGCTGTTTGCCTTGGCTAAAACTGATCTGCTGTTCCAAGGCAGAACAGAATGCCCAAAGGCCAAAACAAGGCAAAAGATTTTTTTTAGAAAACTCTTTAGCTTTGATTCTAAGCATTTCAATGAGAAAAAGATACTCAATCTCCTCTGGGATAAATAACCTTACTCTATGAAGATCTTTAAGGAAGGAGAGTTGGCCTGAAGAAGCAGACATTCCATTGAAGCTTCTAAAGGAAGCTCAACCCATCCTGATAGGCCCTTTTATCTAAGGAATGGCTAGGTGAAGGATCTACTTCAAAGACCAATAGACCAAATTCAATAATTTACTTCAAATGGGACTGAATCCTAGTAAAGCTGGAATCCAGTTTAGATTCTGCCCTGTTTAGCATAAGGGCGATTTATACTCTATTCAGCCTGTGGAACTTTGGGACAACACTGGTTCTTGTATGTTTTGAAACAGTTGTGACAGAGGTGAAGGAGTGATTTAGTGACCATGTATTAATTGCAATAATCACTGCACATAGCTGTAATGCTGACTTCGGTTGTTTATTGATCTTACAGGGTAGAGACAGATGACTCTGAAGTTACCAATAGCCCCTTGTTAGCACGTTCCTTTGATCAAGCAATAGAAGTAACATCCCAAATCATATAGCTGATTGGTGAAGTTCAAAGGTATTATGTGAAAATATACAGCTTGTGGCTGTACCTGAAATGTTAGGTATATCAGGTACATGCTAGCTTTTACCTCCTCCTATCATCTAGAGTCCCAAACATTCCTTCCAAAGGAATCAGTGATTTACTTGTACTTGAATTTAGTATATTTCATTTGCTACTCACAATTCCGTCTCCTCACCATGATAGGCAGATTTGGTGAGCACTTGCTGAACATTTCCATTCATTCATTAAACATAAACTAAAGCTTCTTGTTGCTTGCTATTTTAATTCTCCATCCCATCCCCACTCTGACCTTTTAAATAAAATAAACAACTGCAGATGCTGAAGACCTGAAACAAAGACAGAAATTGCTGGAGAAACTCAGCAGGTCTGGAAGCATTTGTGGAGAGAGAAACAGAGGTAATGGTTTGAATTCAGAGACCCTTCTTCAGAACTGGTTCTCCACAGATGATGCTAGACCTGCCTAGTTTCTCCTAAAATGTCTGTTTTTGTCCCACTCTCTCCTTTCTATGTTTCATCTGTTCTAATGCTCTATGAAACTTTTAAGGAATGCCACATGTTTCAATTAGACAACAGGATAGCCTTCTGGACTCATCATTTAATTGAATGATCTCTGATTATAATCGCTTCCATTTTTATGGACAGCAATTGTTGATATTGATTCAGCTGTTGCCATTTACACCTGTACACCCAACTACTGTTTACTTACTTGTTCCATTACCATCCCACTGTTTTCCTTGCATCCATTCGGTTATTTAACCTCCTCTGGCTTCTGGCCTGTCACAGACCTGCCTTTTTGTTCTTTCCTGACTCATGTATTTCCTTTAAACCTGTTGCATTTCTATTTCTAGTTATGATGAAAGGTCGTAGAACTGAATTAAAAATCAAGACTAACATTTCAGTGCAGATGCTGTATTTACTGTCAGAGATGCAGCTTTTCAGATGAAATATCAAACCAAATGCCTACCAATCCACTTGGGTGAATGTAAAAGATCCTATGGTGCTACTTCAAAGATGAGCATTGGGGTTATCACTGTTATTCTGGTCAAATTTATCTCTTGACCATGATCACAAAAACAAATTATCTGGTTATTATCACACTGCTCCATTTATTGACAATAATGCAATATATTGCTTTAAAAATATTGCCCATATTATCTCTTGTGTTTTTAAAGTTTTGCATCTCACTTTTGTACTTGTAGAAAGGGCTATGTGCATTGTTGAAATGAAGGAAAAAAAAACTGCTAATCATCATCTATTGTCCCCATGCCTCTGGCACTCCATGACATAATTTATGCAGCAAGGGCATAATGGAGCACATAGTTATAAATCGCTGGTCCCTTACACATTACCTGCACTTGCATTCTCTGATGATCCCCATGGACATGTCCTTGTTACATGACCACAAACAGCTTATACTTGATGTTATATGCTTAATTAAACATTAACTATTAACATTCCTTGCACACGTTGATTATTGCTGTGGAAGCTTCTTTTATATCATCACAGTGAACTAATGCAAATGTATAAAATATTAAGGTTGAATAAGAGAAGTGATTACTTTTAGTATGGAAACCAATGCACACATATATCACAACATTTAGAAATATGGTGAGCATAATTAATATGGAGGATAACAGCAATGGTAATTCTAGTGTGCATTTTGTTCATCCTTTTACTGAAAAGATTAATCAAAAAATATAAATAATACTGAAACAAAGACTGACATAATTTTAAGTAGGTTTAAAATTGGTCATCATTTTTATTGTAATTTGTCTTCAAGTAATAAAAATAATAATTACAATGATAAATATTGCAGATGCTGAAAACCTGAAATACTCAGCAAGTCAAGTAGCTCCTGAAGTGGGAGAACCACTTCAGTGACCTTCACAGAAAACTAGAACGAGTGAGAGATGTAATTGGTCTTAAATATGTTTGCAGGGAAAGAGAAAAAAGGACAAGAACAAAGATGGCAAACGTAGCAACAGTAACAGTTATTGCTGACTGAAAGAAATGGGGGCAGTGGTTAGAAATTAAAATATTGAATCATTATAGTCACTACACTCTGAGGAAATTCCTTCACATCATGACTTTAAATGACTGATCCCTTATTCCTGTTTCCTCTGGATCAAGACTCCACCACTTGTGGAAATAACTTCTCAATAATCTACTCTGTCAAGCCCCCTAAGAGTCTTGAATGTTTTAATAACATCACCCCTCGTTCTTCTAAACTCTAATGAATAAATCTTTCTTAAATAAATAAATCTTTCTTAAATATGGAAATCGTTATTGCTAGGGTGTTGTAGTTGAAAACACAGGAAAGTCGTGTTAACAGTTGTACAGAGTGTTGGTGCAACCACAGCTGGAGTATTGTGTACAGTTTGATCCCTGTATTTGAGAAAGGAAACTTTGGCTTTGGAGGCTGATCAAAAGAAATTCACTAGGCTGATTCCTGGGCTGAAGAGATTGTTCAAGAATGGCTAAGTAAGTTAGGTTAATAAATATTCATTAGAATTTAGAAGAACGAGGGACGATCTTATTGAAACGCAAGATTCCGAGGGGCCTTGACAGAATACATGTTGAGAAGATGGTTCCACTTGAACTAAGAGACATCATTACAGATTAAAGGGGTAGACATTGAAAAATTAGATGCAAAGAAATCTCTTCTCTGAGGATAGTGAATGTCTGAAATTCAGTACCCCAGAGAGTTGTGGAGGCTAGAACTGAAAGTATTTAAAGAAGGGATAGATAAAGTTGTCATCTCTCAAAGCCCCATTGAAATAATGTGGAAAGCAGAGATTGTGTGGTAAGAGTGTGTGTGGAGTGAAAAATTAAAATTAAAATGACAACTGACCAAAAGTTCAGGATCATGCTTACAGACTCAATGGAGATGTTTAACAAAGTAATCACCCATTCTGTTTTTAGCCTCCAACTGTAGAGAAGACAGTTCTGTTGATGGTGAACAGAGCATGTTAGATTGAATGATGTATATGTAAAATTACTGTTTCAACTCTAAGACACTTTAAATCTTCTAGACTCATCTTCATATTATTTTTCAATTTTGTTTTCTGCTGAATAAGAAATTCAAGGCACAACTATTTGTATCTTACAAGCAAATATTACAAGTTAATATTTTATGTTAGGGCTGCATAAAACTGATATTGAGATCACTTTCCTCAACCTTTAAACATGTTACTGCACTCTTCTTGAAACAGATCCGTATATCCTCCCTCATTTCTGTACGAGGGAGTCACAGACAATGACGCAATGGAATTTGCTTTCTATGATCCGCCTTGCATGTATCAGAATGTCAATTATTCATTCCAGGTAAGTTTATCATTTTTTTCAGATTACAGATGCTTGTATGTGGTAGAGAGAGACCAGGGAACCTAACATCAGTGGAAGGGAAACTATTGGAGAAAATAGTGGTGGATAAAATTAATCCCCAATTAGAGGAGCAAGATTTGATTGGGGATAGTCAGAGGGAGGTGATGCCTAAAAAATCAGTTGGAATTTTTCGAGGAGGTAATCAAGTGTTTGGATGATGGTAGGACAGTTGATGTAGTTTATATAGATGTCATCAAGGTTTTTGACAAGGTCCCGCATGGGAAACTGATAAAGGAGGTAAAAGCTCATGGGATCCAGGGTAACTTGGCAAAATGGATCCAAAATAGGCTTATTGATAGGAGATAGAGGGTGGTAGTAAGAGGCTGTTTTTGAAACTGGACTCCAGTGTGCAGTGGTGTACCACAGGAATCAATGCTGGGTCCCTTTTTGTTTGTGATATTCATAAATGCTTTAGAGGAGATTGTTGTAGGGATGTTAAGTAAGTTTGCAGATAATGCAGGGATTGCATGGGTGATCGACAGTGAGGAGGAAGGTGTTAGGTTACAAAAGGATATAAACAGATTGGTGAGATCGGCAGATCAGTGTCAAATGGAACTAACTCTGATAAATGTGATGTGTTGCAATTTGGAAGAAGGAACAAGACCAGGGAATACTCATGGCAAGACACTAGGAAGCTCAGAAGGACTGTGGGATCTTGAGGTGCTTGTCCACAGATCCCTAAAGGTGGCAGGACAGGTTATAAGGATATTTAGGAGGGCATGTGGGATGCTTGCTTTTACCAGTTGTGGCATAGATTATACGAGCAGGGAGATGTTGTACAGAACTTTGGTTAGGCCACAGTTGGAATATAGTGTGTAGTTCTGGTCATCACACTAGAGGAGAGATGTAATTGCCGTGGGGAAGGTGCAAAGTAGATTCACTTGGATGTTACCTGGGATGGAGCATTTCAGCTTTGAAGAGAGGCTGGATAAGCTCGGGTTGTTTTCTTTGGAGCAGAGAAGCATGAAGGGGAACCCATTAGGGGTGTACAAAATTGAGGGACATGGACAGGGTGAAGAGAAAGCAGCTGTTCCCCTTAGTTGAAGGGTCAATAACGAAGGGGGCATAATTTTAAAGTAAAAGGCAGGAGATTTAGAGGGGATTTGAGGAAAACCTTTTTTACCCAGAGGATGGTGGGAGAATGGAATGCACTGCCTAGAAGGGTAGTTGAAGCAGGAAACCTCACAACCTTTAAAAAGTACTTGAATGAACACATGATGTGTCATAACATTAAGTACACGGGCCTAGTGTGGGAAAATGGGACTAAAGTCGGTAGTAGTACATTTTCGGTTAGACAGACTTGATGGGCTGAAGAGCGTCTTCTGTACGATTATGAATCTGCTTAGCCAATAAATGTTTGTTTTCAAGGGGTCTTGTGGAGCAATGGTAGTGTCCCTACCTCTGGGCCAGGAGACAGGTGCTCAAATCCGACCTATTCCAGAGAGGTGTCACAACACGTCTGAACAGATCGATTAGAAATGTCTAGATACTTAGAGTCAAAGCGCCGTAGAGATCTACAGCATGGAAACAGACCCTTTGGTGTAACTTGTCCATGCCAACCAGATATCCTCAGTTAATCTAGTCCCTTTGGCAGCATTTGGCCCAAATCCCTCTAAACCCTTCCTATTCATATATCCATCCAGATGCCTTTTAAATGTTGTAATTGTACCAGCCTCCACTTCCTCTGGCAGTTCTTTCTATACACGCACCACCCTCTGCATGAAAAATTTTCCCCTTAGGTCCCTTTTAAATCTTTCCCCTCTCTCCTTAAACCTATGCCCCCTAGGCTTGGACTCCCAACCCCAAGGAGATGACCTTGTCTATTTACCCTATCCATGCCCGTCATGATTTCATAAACCTCAATAAGGTCTATCCTCATCCTCTGACGCTCCAGGGAAAATAGTTTCAGCCTATTCAGCTTCTCCCTATAGCTCAAACCCGCCAACCCTGATTACATCCTTGTAAATCTTTTCTGAACCCTTTCAAGTTTCACAACATCCTTCGTAAAGCAAGGAGACCAGAATTGAACACAGTATTCCAATAGTGACCTAACCAATGTCCTGTATAGCTGCAACATGAACTCCCAATTCCAATACTCAGTGCACGGACCAATAAATGCAAGCGTACCAAACATTTCTTCACTATCCTATCTACCTGCGACCCCACTTTCAAGGAACTATGAACCTGCACTCCAAGGTCTCTTTGTTCAGCAACACTCCCCAGGACCTTACAATTAAGTGTATAAGTCCTGCCCTGATTTGCCTTTCCAAAATGCAGCACCTCACATTTATTTAAATTAAACTACATCTGCCACTCCTCGGCTCACAGACTATCTGATCAAGATCCCATTGTACTCTGAGGTAACCTTCCTCACTGTCCACTATACCTCCAATTTTGGTGTCATCTGCAAACTTACTAACCATACTCCCTGTGTTCATATCTGAATCATTTATATAATTTGACAAAAAGCAGTCGACCCAGCACTGATCCTTGTGACACACTGCTGGTCACAGGCCTCCAGTCTGAAAAGCAACCCTCCACCTCTGTCTTCTAACTTTGAGCCAATTCAGTATCCAAATGGCTAGTTCTCCCTGTATTCAATGTGATCTAACCTTGTTAACCAGTCTCCCATGAGGAACCTTGTCGAATACCTTACTGAAGTCCATATAGATCACGTCCAGCGCTCTGCCCTCATTAATCCTCTTCATTACATTTGTTTCCGCAACAGATTGGTCACTTGAGATTTAATGGGTTTCATGTTTGTTTTAGTCTTCAGCATGTATGAGTAAGAGGTTTCTTAGGTTGTTGGTAGTTTAATTCCTTCTCTCTTCATGTGGCTAATAAGATCTGCCCATGAGGAGGTGCTGGGTGAGTAGTAGTTGAGGTGTCATGAGGGTTTAGAGTTGGTCTGGAGGTAGCATGGATTGTGAAGAGTGGGTGGAGATGTCATAACACATGATCAAAATGCACAGGACCAGTTTGTCCATAGGACTAGGCTTGGAGGGCACTTGGCTGGTGATAATATATGGCTGGGACTGCTTTTCAGCTTTCGATAAAAGAGAAATTGTGGCTACTATAGCAAATGGAATAATTAATTATGGTATGGTAGACATCAATTTAAATTGACTATTTTACATGATTGCTGCTTATGCCACTGTGTCCACTAAAAACATTTTGAGCAGAGTAAATCTAAAGCCTGCTCTGCAATTGCTCATGAGTGTCGGGCAGGGGTCCTCATATCTGTTTTGGGCAGACACCAAAGTGCCTGGGCAGCCTCTTATGCCAACATTGTCTATGCTCGTAGGGTGAGTAGTATAGAGTAGCACAGAGTTGGCTCTCGTTATGCCCACTCGACATTATCAGTTTCTAAACGATCAACAATCAATCTTCATTAGTACTGTTCTCGGAAAATTATTGGCAATTCAGAAAGTAGAAGTAAATATGAAAGGTAGCAAGATAAATGTGAGGTATCGCATTTTGGTAATACAAACAAGGGCAGGACTTATACAATTAATGGTAGGGCCTGGGCAGTGTTGTAGAGAACTGAGAGATCTAGTGATTCAGGTACACAATTCTTTGAAATTTGAGTCACCTGTTGACAGGGTGGTTAAGAAGGTGGTTAACACACTTGACTCCATTGCTCAGACCTTTGAGTATAGGAGTTGGGACATCATGTTGAGGTTGTACAGAATGTCGGTGAGGCCTATTCTGGAGTAATATGTGCTGTTCTGATTGCCGTGGTATAAGAAGGATATTATTAAATTGGAGAGGGTTCAGAAAAGATTTATCAAGATGTTGCCAGGAATGGAGGGTTTGAGTTAGAAAAGTAGGCTGGATAGTCTAGGATGTTTTTCACTGAAATGTAGGAAGTTGAGGTGTAACCTTACAGAGATTTATAAAACTGTGAGACTCATAGAAAAGGTGAATAGCAAGGGTCTTTTCCCTGGGGTGGAGAAAGTTCAAAACTAGGGGGCAAGTGAGAGGAGAAAGATTTAGAAAGGACATGAGTGGCAATGTTTTTATACGGAGAGTGGTTCGTGTGTGAAATGAACTGCTAGAGGAAGTGGTGGATGCAGGTACAGTTATAATATTTAAAAGACATTTGGATAAGTACATGCATAAGAACGGTTTGGAGGAGTATGGGCCAAATGCAGTCAGGTTGAACTAATTTAGTTTGGGAACATGGTCAGCTGACTGGACTGGTTGGATCAAAGTTTTATGCTTTATGACGCTATGACTCTAAGGCTAAGATACCACAGTTTACTATTTATTATAATCCGTTGACCAACAGTTCTTATAGTTGTGTTCGAACGTTGCATAAGATATCATGGTATTAATGGATTTGTCAGTATTTATCTATTCACAATTAACTTTATTCAAGGTAACTAACATGGGGAACAGCATAGCTCCTAATATTATGCTACAAATTACACAGCCCAACATGCTGCGAACAAGTGACTTCAAGTTGTTTGAAATTCTTGATGTAAAGGTAGGATCATTGTTATGCTGTTTGTGTTGCAAATAACATGTATAACATTACATTCTCTAACCTTTCTGAGAGAGCTCCTGTAGACAAAGAAGTACAGTAAATAAAGGGAATTTTTAACTTAAAATAAAGAATGTTTAGGCTGTGTGGAGTTGAGGGAAGGGGGATGGTAAAGTGTTCAAGTCCTAAATATTGGTTTTCTCACAGAACCAACAACTCCCTTTGGAAACGTGGTCACTCAGCCTTAAATACAATGATGAGGTTGTGAGCCTTGATACGAGGCAGCTTTAACCCAATGATTATGTATAGACCAGGGCTTGGCAGATCCAGGAGGTGAGTGCCTTTGGATCCTACATGCCTGACTGAAGGAGTCTTGCAATAATGCACTAACAAAGTTCCCCACCACCACCAAATAGCTCCTCGACCTCTGACTTGTATCTGCAACCAGATCTCCAATTTTCCCCTGAGACCTCTGACCTCCCCATCCCTCAGCCACTCGGACTCTGCCCACTTCACTCATGAAGTCCCCTGTCTTCATAGGCCACTAATCAAAACAGTTCTAGTGATTTTTGTAACTGGTGGTTACGATCTGAAATTGAGACACTTGATGCAGAGTCCTACAAGCTCTGAAGTACCAAATTGAAAGGTGAGCTATTGTTCCTTGAGCTTCCATTGAGCTTCATTGGAACAGTGCAGTAGCCAAGGACAGAGAAGTCAGAATGGGGGTGGAAGGGAAAATTAACATGACAAACAAGCGGAACTTCATCTCACACTTGTGGACTGAACAGAGTTTTCACCAAATCTGCATCTGATATCCTGTTGTGAGGGAGATAAAATTGTGAGAAATGAATGGTGTATTGAAACATATATATGTAAGTTGCTGTTTTACCTGAAAATAATGTTTGTGCCCTGGATTGTGGAAAGAGAAAAGATGAAAGAAGAGGTATGACATCTCCTGACCTTTTTTTAAACATTGGTCGTTACAATAACTGTCATCGGTCAAGTGAGTTGCTTTTCTTTCTCACGAAGACAGTGATGGAATAAATGGCTCTTCCTCAATGCTGATTTGGCGTCATATTATCTGCAACTTCACTTTGACGTAAATGCTGTTGCATTAATTAACAATATGATCCCAACGTAAAGACACATTTCAAGATGCATGAGGGAGATTCAGGGATAAGTTCCTGCACGAGGCAGTGCCTGAAATGGTTTATTAAGAGCCACTTGAGGCCAATGTTCCCTGAAAGCTGTGTGGCTTCCCCACTCACAGCTGCTCCCATGTTCCATGCACAGTGATCAGTGTCGGTACACCAGTCGTGGCTTTGCCTTCCATTTTCAGAGATCGCTGCTGTGCACAGATCTTAGAGGCCCATGCCACTGGCAAGAAACATAGAGCGAACACTGCTTGAGATTAATTAAAGGAGGCTGACTGGAATAGTCTGGCCTGTATCCAGATGGTCCCCACTGCCTGAGGCTAATTTAGCAGCCTGGACGGTGAGGGCCTTGTGGTAGTGTCAGTACCTCTGGACCATGAGGCCCAGGTTCAAATTTCACCTGCTCAAAAGGTATGTCCTAACTTGTCTGAACAGAGCGATTAGAACTATCTAGCTGTGCAGACGTGCACCCCCACCATTCCCCTATTTCTAGTAACAGGCCAGGCTACAGGAGAAATTCCTGCTACCCTCCCCCACTCCCTGTACCATGACATAACCCTCATTGTGGTTAGAAAAGCCTTTACTTTAGATTTGAGATAATAAGGTGTAGAGCTGGATGAACACAGCAGGACAGGCAGAATCAGAGGAGCAGGAAAGCTCCTATAGATTTGAGTTTTGGACAGAGAGTGCCTCCATGATGAAGGCAGCTTGGTTTACTTCCCCTCACAGCCTGCTATTCCTTTCCTTGCTGGAAGATATCTGATGAGGTCTCCAGCTTGAAGAGCCTGCCTAGTACTCTTCATTGCATGAGAGCCCATCTATAGTGCAATACAGTTGTCACTCTGTGAACATCGGTGAGTAACAGTATCCCTTTGGGGTGGGTCGATGACCTGGGAACAGTCTTGACATCTACTTCCCAATCCTGGAAGCAAAATCCTCTGCCAAGACTTGACACACAATTCTACAGCATTTTTCATATCTTCGTAAGGCAGCAGTGCAGGCAAATATGATCCTAGCTTAACATTTCAACATCTGTCCCAAACGGCACTTTGAGTAGTGCAAGCTATGAACTAAATCAGCTCAAAGTATAAATTTCTGCTTTTCATCACTTCTGGGTTTCACTCACTGTGATCCCCACCAGCACTATGACCGGTGCTTCTTCCACACTTCCGGAATTCAAAGATTCATTAAATACTGTTTTATCATGAAACTTAGCTGGTATGTGGAGGTGAAATTGCTGAAATTTGCTACACTGTTCCAATTTTCAAAAAATTGCATTATTTTTACAGACTGATAAAGGAGAATGTCAATTTGACCGTTATTCAGAAAACTGTACTGGAATGCAAGATGTAACCATATTTCAACAAATGTTTAACTTTTTGAAGAAGATTGGAAGAAGAGTATTGGTAAGGATCAATATAAAATCAACCAAGTTCTAAATGACTGAATAATGAATAATGAATACTTGTAAGCAATTACTCCAATTAAGGAAATAACTAGTATAGCAAGGCAGAAGATAAAATCACAGCAACGAAATGTGTAATTTAAAATGCCTTAGGTCTTCAGGCGCTTTATAGGAACATTATCAAAAAAATGCTATTAGAAAATAGGAGCAGGAGTAAGCTGTTCAACCCTTTGAACCTGCTTTGTTATTCAACTATGATCATAGCTGGTCATCCAACACAGTGTCCTGTTCCTGCTTTCACCACGTATCCTTTGATCCCTTTAGCCCTAAGAACTGTATCTAATACCTTCTTGAAAATGTTCAATGATGTAGTCTCAACCTCTTGCTCTGCCGGAAAGTTCTACAAGTTCACCACACTGGCAGAATTGTTATGGTACAGAAGGAGGCCATTTGTGTTGTTTATGTTTCGTGCCTAGTAAATAGATAAAGTTAGAATAGAATGTTCACCCACGGTGTGAAATCATTTGCTTTCATGTAGTTTATAATGTGAAGATATGTGCTAAATGAAGTACTGTTGATTAATCTGCCCTTTAAGGGTGTACTTTGTACCACTTTGTGGAAGGTACTTCCCATAAAATTCTGAACAATTAACTTGTAAACTTAACGTGACTGATGGTATGTTTGATTTCCTTTGATTTTATGATGGTTGTGACAAAATCTGCTAGTTTCAGACACGTGGAAGTACCTGGAACTAACTAGTCAGAGTCAGAAATCACACCACACCAGGTTATAGTCCAACAGGTTTATTTGAAAACACAAGCTTTCGGAGCCTCGGTCCTTCTTCAGGTGTTAGTGAAAGAGGCAGTATCAGACACAGAAATCATAAGCAAAAGATCAAAGGTTCACACTGTTGATGAATCCGTGTTGTAGGTCGACGTGAGTGGGTTCGTGATCTGTAGTCTTTTGTGTTTTCTTGTATTTCCGTAGAAACTTAATGTCTGTGTTGATATGTGCGATCTTCCTGGAGATCCTCTCCACTTTGAGCTGGCAATTAGTGGTTTCGATGATAGCCATGATGTGGAGGTGCCGGTGTTGGACTGGGGTGGACAAGGTCAGAAATCACACGACACCAGGTTATAGTCCAACAGGTTTATTTGAAAACACAAGTACAAAAGGTCCCAAAAAGACTACAGATCACGAACCCACTCAAGTTGACCTACAACATGGATTCATCAGTGGTGTGAACCTTTGATCTTTTACTTATAAATTCTGTGTCTGATACTACCTCTCTCACTAACACCTGAAGGACTGAGGCTCCGAAAGCTTGTGTTTTCAAATAAACCTGTTGGTCTATAACCTGGTGTCATGTGATTTCTGACTTTGTCCACCCCAGTCCAACACCGGCACCTCCACATCATAACTAGTCAGAGGCATACAGCATCACTTCTCTTCTGTTCACCTTTAACAACTGTAAGGAAGCACTTTGTCAGTTGGTTGAGTTTAGTAATGAGCTCGGTATTTTGATTAGGAGTGTGCCCTACACTCCGCAATGAGTGATGAAGTTTCTCCTAAACTACGGAATTATTATTATTCAATTTTTAAAATTAGATGTATTATTTTTTCTACAGTCCTGTTTCAGACCTGGAATTTCCTGTTTAAATATCAGTTGCCAGTTAGGAGACATTGAACATGGAAGAGTTGTATCCATCCATGTTGCTATGAGACTCAATTATGCATTTTTGGCATCGGTAAGTTTTATTTTGTACATTTGTGTGTGTATATATGATTTTTGACATCATCTAAGCATTGTCTTTAGTTTTAAAAAAACTGAATATTAAATTTCTATGCTGCATTGAATAATCTATTCAGCTAATGTGCAAACAAGTTGTGAAGATTATGGAAGAGAAACAAACATCATGTTTGTGTTGTTTTTAGTAGTATTTGAAGGAAACAAGATTAGAATATACATATGTTGTGTTCGTAATCTTCTTGATTTTTCCCAATTGCTGTTGGATGTACATGTCTTTTGGCAACAAATTGTGGTGATGTTCTTAATGGGGCTTGAGTTGACTTCTGCTTCTCTCTTTCTGTTGTGGAATTAAACAAAGCTATCTGAGCATCTTGAATGTGATTCCTTAGTTGTAAAGAATCTCTGGTTTGAATTTCAGCCTGAACTGATGTTTCTCTCAAATATATTTAGAGTCATTGAGTCATACATCGTGGAAACAGACCATTTGGTCGAACCATTCCACGCCGACTGTGTTCCCAAACTAAACAAGGCCCACTTGCCTGTACTTGGCCCATATACCTCCAAACCTTTCCTATTTGTGAAATTATGCAAATATCTTTTAAATGTTGTAACTCTACCTGCATTCACCACTTGCTCTGACATTTCATTCCACACTCTATGTAAAAAAAAATTTCCCCTCATGTCCTTTTAAATCTTTCTCCTCTCACCTTAAAAATATGCCTCCTAGCTTTTAACCCCCACCCTCCAGGGAAAATACCCCTGTCGTTCATCTTATCTATGCCCTTCATGATTTTGTAAACCTCTATAAGGTCAACCCTCAACTTCCTAAGCTCCAGAGAGAAAAGTCTCAGCCTTTCCAGTCTATTTTTAAATCTCAAACCCTCCATATCTGGTAATATCCGGGTAAATTTCTTCTGGAACCTCTCTAGTTTAATAATATCCTTCCTATAACAGGGCAGCCAGAAGTGCACATGATACTCCAGAAGAGATCTCACCAATGTCCTGTACAACCTTAACATGATGTCCTAACTCTTACACTCAAAGGTCTGAGCAATGAAGGCAAGCATGCTAAATGTCTTCTTAACCACCCTGCCTACCTGTGATGCAAAAGAATTATGTACCTGAACCCCTAGGGTCTCTTTGTTCTACAACACTACCCAGGGCTCTACCATTAATCGTATAAGTCCTGTGCTTGAGATAGTAGGAACTGCTTGTTTATTTTACCAAAATGTAAAACCTCACATTTATCCAAATTGAACTCCACCTGCCACTCCTTCACTGCCCACTATATCATCAATTTTGGTGACATCTGCAAATTTACTAACCATGCTTCCTATATTCTCATCCAAATCTTTTATATAAATGACAAACAAAAATGGACCCAGTACTGATTCCTGTGGAACATCGCTGGTTGCAGGCTTCCAGCCCAAATAACAACCTTTCACCACCATACACGACATTAAAGCCAATTTTGTATCCAATTTGCAAGCTCACACTGAATCCCATGTGATCTAACTTTACTAATTAGTTTACCAGGCGGAACCTTGTCAAAGGCTTTACTAAAGTCCAAGTAAACAACATCTATCACTCTGCCCTCATCACTATTTTTGGTTACTTCATTAAAAATTCAATCAAGTTAGTGAGACACTAATTCCCTTGCATAAACCATACTGACTATCCCTAATCAATTTTTGCCTCTCCAAATGCATGTAAATTCTATCTTCCAGAATCACCTCCAACAACGTACCTATCACTGATGTGGGACTCTCAGATCTATAGTTTCCAGGCTTCTCTTTAAACAAAAACACAACATTAATCACCCTCCAGTCCTCCAGAACACTTCATCCATGTTCACAGATGATACAAATATTACCCACAATTTCCTCCCTAACTTTGGTCACCCTTTGTCAGATTATCTGACAGTGCTGCAATAAAATTAACAGGTCCACATTTTCCAAAACATAACACTCATCAGAAAACAAGGAAATATTATCCATGTTGAAGTTTGCTGTGAAATTTCCCCACATTACTAGTTGAAGGAGGAAAAACAATAGTTCCAAAAGATAGCAGTAGTGAATGTGAAAAGGGATTGGAATGAGGAATAAAATTATAACTTCAGTGGATTTACATAAATCTACATCATTTGCAGGTATATTTGAGGTTTTGTTATTTCTACATATTTAAAGCTTTCTTTTTTCTACAGTGAATGACATAAAAGTATGCCAACTTAATAATTTTATACTTAAAACAAATGCAACTTTCACTTTTTATTTCAACAGGATTCTGCTGCTTCAATATTTTTTATTACAGAAGCTGTGGCATCATCAGCGCAGAATCAAAAGGTTATCCAAAAAAAAGGAGGCACACGTAAAACTGTAAGTCTTTCATTACAGTATTAAAGTATTTATTCTGAACAATTTGACTTTCCTTCCTCTTTCCTGAATTCATCCTGCATACAATGTGATGAGAGATGACAGCAACTTTCCAGAACAATGTCCAAGTGGCCATTTGACATATGTAAGTCCAAGCACTGAATAGTACTTGACTACGTAAGACTATCACAGCTGATCCCATCTTTCCACAATGAGCATGTGACAACGAGGAACCAACAGATAGGCCAACTTTTCTTTTTTCAACTGGATAATTAATACATCAACTCACTGGGACCAGGAAAGACTGTTTCTGAGATCAGATCAATCAGCTCCACACAAATTAGTCTGAACCTCGAAAAGTACGGAAAGAGTAAAATCAATCTGATTTGGTGAGGGTCTGAAAGCTGGGAATAAATATATAGCTGGTATCAAAAATGTAAAAACATTCTCCTGAATCAGTCTGCGGTAAATTATGCACCAAGACTGGATTACATCCATGCTTGGGACATTATGGTGCATTTGTAGTGTCCCAATGCCTGGGCCAGACATCCAGGTTTAAGTCCCACCTGTCCTGCATGTATGTCCGAAATAATTTTTGAGATCTTGTGGCACAGTTGTAGCATCAGAAGATCTGGGTCCACGTCCTGTCTGCAACAGAGGCATGTCATAACATGTCCAAACAGGTTGATTTTTTTGTCTCCCTCACCCCTCCCCCAGACCTGGGCTAATAAGCAGGTAACAGTCACACCATATACAAGAGCTAGGCAATGACCATCTCCAACAATAGGGAGTCTAGTCATTGATGGCATTATCATTCCTCAATGCTCCACCATCAATTGAAACCATTGATTGAAAACCTGAATGGACCAGCTACATAAATTCTGTGGCTTCAAGGGCAAGCCAGGGGTTGAGAGCTCTGTGGCAGGCAACTCACCACCTGCTTCCCCAAATAGGCACAAATTAGAAGGGTTCTAGAATAGTCTCCACTTGCTCAGATGAATGCAGTTCCAATAACATTCAAGTGACTTTACATCATCTAACTCAAGCAGCCCACATGCTTGGCACCCCAGCCTTCAGTGATACTCTTTCCACTACTGGCACACAGTGTTGCAATGCGTTTGATTTACAAATTACGTTCAAATATATCGCAGTTACTTCACTGTCACTGGGTCAGAATCCTGGAGTGTCTTCGCGAACAGCACTGTGGGTTTGCTGGTATCATAAGGAGTACTGCAGTTCAAGAAGGCAACTCTCGACCACTTTTTCAAGGCAGTTAGAAATAGATAATAAATGTTGACTTGCTAATGACGTGCACATCCCATAAGCAAATGTTTTAGAGCGCCATAGAAGTCTTTTTTTCTTGTTTCATGCCTGCTCTAAGTTGATGTCAATATCCCGAATTGATATATCCTGTTCCCTTCTGTTAATTGCCATATTAGCCTGCAAAATGGTGTGCCACAGGGATTAGTACTGGGCCATATTTATTTATAATTTATATGAATGACTTGGATGAGGAAAATGAATGTACTACAGTCAAGTTTGTGGATGATGCAAAAATAGGTAGGAAGGTGAGTGATGTGCGTGACACAAAGTGCAGAGGGATATAGACAGGTTAACCAGGCAGGCAAAACCTTGGCAGATAGATTATAATGCAATATAATGTAAGGTTATGGACTTTGACAGGAGAATAAAGGAGCTGAATTATATTTAAATGATTTAATTTATATTTAAATATTTAAAGGAGAAAGACGGCAGAAAGCTACAGAACAGAGGAATTTAGGAGTCCTTGTCCACGAATCACAAAAAACTACTACCTAAGTTCAGCAGGTGATAGGGGAGATACATGGAATATTGGCCTTTATTTTAAAGGAAATTGAATGTAAAAGCAGGGAGGTTTTGCTAAAACAATACAAGGTACTAATCAGACCTCTCCTTGAATACTGTTAACAGTTTTGGACCTCTCACCTGAGTAAAGATATATTGGCATTGGAGGAAGTCCAGAGAAGGTTTACTATGCTGCTATCAGATATGAGGAGAGGTTGAGTAGATGGGGTATGCACTTGTTGAAATATAGAAGAATGAGATGCGACCATATTGAAACGTAGTAGATTCTAGGGTCATGACAGGGTAGATGTGCAAAGGCTGTTTCCCTTTTTGGGAGAGTCTAGGCCCAGAGGGCATAATCTCAGAATAAGATTTTGCACATTTCAGTCAGAGATGAGGAATTTCTTCTCTCTGAGGGCAATGAATCTGTGGAATTCTTTACAGCAGGGGTCTGTAGAAGCTGGTTATTATGTACCTTTAATGCTGAGCTGGATTTTTAATCAGTAATTGAATCAAGTGTTATGGAGAAAAGGCAGGAAAGTGGATTTGAGGGTTATCTGATAAACCATAATCTCATTGATGGCAGAGCAGACCTGATGGATTTAATGGCCTGTTTCGGCTCCTACATCTCATGCTCTTAACATCCTGAGACTTCAGTTTAAGGAACAATAGTGGTGTACTTAAATTGCAGCTCCTACTGCGGGCAGAGACTGATCATATCATTAAATGTGATTTTCTGTTTCAATCCTTGATAAATTTCAAATGTTCAACTGTATGCAGCAAAGTGATTGTCCAGCTATGAGCAAATGCAATAGAACATAAAAGCTTTAAAGGCTTTGGATAGGCCAGCAGTAAAAATGTAGTATGTTGATGAACAACATTTTTGGAATGCACATGTGAGCTATTTACCTGTTTGTGGAATTATTCTGTGGGCATATATTGCCAGCTTTCTGCAGATCTCCTGTTTCCTCTGCCTCTCTTCTTAAATGTCACAGATGTAGTATTATACCTGGACACTAGTTGCTGTCAAATATGCTGTACAACTGTCATCTAAGGAGGATGTTCTAGAATAGAAAACAGGCAACCTTCATTATACCCACTTCAATATCCATTGTCTATATGAAGTAGGTGGTTTTATGCACCTCACTGGTTTGTTACTTGCCAGTTATTGCACTGCACTTTTCTGTTTGTCCACTAATTTTTGACAGCTATTTCTTCTGGGCCACATAACTGAAAAGGTTACTTTAAATCATTTAGTGGAGGTGCTGGTGTTGGACTGGGGTGGACAAGGTCAGAAGTCACACGACACCACCTTGTAGCCCAAGATGTTTATTTGAAATCACTAGCTTTTCAAGCACTACCCCTTTGTCAGGTGAAGTGAAGAGAGGCACATAGGCACAGAATTTATAACAGTGAGATCAAAAGATCATATGAATGGTGTGAGTGGAGTGTCAACAGGTTGATCACCTGCAGAGACTTATTATTCAAAAGTGTCAGACAGTGTGAGTAAAGTGTCAACAGCTGAATAAGAAGTGAAGTGTTGACCCTATAATTCAACTAAATGAGGCAGAGAGATAATTACAAAAAAATTAAAAACAAGCTGGTGTTGGAGCCAAACCAAATGACTGGAATAACATGATAGGTATAAAAGTCGCATGCCGAGGGTCTAACCAAAGTAACAAGTAATCCAAAACTGTACAAATTAATTAAGGTAGAGAGATCATAACAAGGCAATGGTGCCAAAACAGAACAGTAATGAAGATTTGACAGATACAGAACAGTGTGGCAGGGTTATGTGTAGTGCAGTTGAGGCCGTCTTCATGGATACGGAACTTGGCTATCAGTTTCTGCGTGGAAATTCTGTTGTTGTTGTGTATCTCGAAGGCTGCTTTGGAGGATGCTTACCCGAAGATTGGACGCTGAATGTTCTTGACCACTGAAGTGTTTTCCCACTGGGAGGGAACATCCCTGTCTGGCGATTGTTGCACAGTGTCCATTCATCTGTTGTCATAGTGTCTGCATGGTTTCACCAATATACCATGCCTTGGGGCATCCTTGTCTGCAGCGTATGAGGAAGACAACATTGGCTGAGTCACATGAGTATCTGCTGTGTACATGGTGGGTGGTGTTCCCACGTGTGATGGTAGTATCCACATCGATGATCTGATATGTCTTGCAGAGGCTGCCGTGGCAGGATTGTATAGTGTTGTGTCGATGTTGCCCTGAAGGCTGGGTAGTTTGCAGTGAACAGTGGTCTGTTTAAGGATTGGTGGTTGTTTGAAGGTGAGAAAGAAGTGGAAGTGTAGGGACTATCTCGGCGAGATGTTCGTTGTCGTCAATGACATATTGAAGGCTGCAGAGAACATTGCGTAGTCTCTCCGCTCTGTGGAAGTACTGGATGATGAAGGGTACTCTGTCAGTCATGTCCTGTATCTGTCTTCTGAGGAGGTCATTGCAGTTTTTTGCTGTGGCATGCCAGAACTGGCAATTGATGTGTTAAGCATCGTCTCTCATTCTTATGAGAGCGCCTTTCAGCATCTTTAGGTGTCTGTTGCGTTCCTCCTCATCTGAGCAGATCCTGTGTATATGCAGGGCTTGTCCATAGGGATGGCTTCTTTAACATGTTTAGCATCGAAGCTAGAGAATTGCAGCATGGTGAGGTTATCTGTGGGCTTGCAGTAGAGTGAGGTACTGAGGTGTCTGTCCTTGATGGAGATGCGCGTGTCTAAGAATGAGACTGATTCTGAAGAGTAGTCCATGGTAAGTCTGATGGCAGGTTGAAACTTGCTGCTATCATGTTTTAGTGATTCCTCACCAATGGGCTTCAGATTGGTTTCACAGGTCGGCGCAACATCGAGGGCCGAAGGGCCTGTACTGCGCTGTAATGTTCTATGTTGTATGAGTCCAAAGGAAGAAAATGTCAATGTATCTAGTGTATAGCGTTGGTTGGAGGTCCAGTGCAGCAACAAAGTCTTGCTTGAATTTGTGCATGAAAATGTTGGCATATTGGGTGCACATTTTGTCCGCATGGCTGTTCAATGTGTCTGCATGATGAGCTGGTTGTCGAAGGTGAAGACATTGTGGTCGATGAAGAAGTGGATGAGTTGTAGGATGGCATCTGGAAATTGGGAAGTTGGTGGTATTGAGTACTGAGGCTGTAGCAGTGATGCTGTTGTCAT